CGCTGTCTGATGCGTGAACTCCGTCGTGCAAGCATAACCCGACGTAAAGCATCCACTCTATCAGGCCGCTAAATAATTAAATACAAAAATCAGTAAATAAACAGACATGATATTTAAACAGTGAAAACAAAGACAAATATGTTTCAAACTTGCATTGTATTCACCCAAGTCATTATTCTATCATAGTTCACAAAATGCATCAGATAACAAAGAAAAATATGTTTCAAACTAATACCCTGAAGTTAGTATTTGTCTTTGTTTTGTCTATTGGTTGAAGTAATGCAATCCATTCAAGTTTCAATTTGCAGAAGAAGAAATAGTTTACTTTCGCAACACGAAACTTAAAATCGCAACGCGAAATGAGAATCGCAACGAGAAACCAAAATCGCAACGCGAAACCAAAATCGCAACGCGAAATGAAAATCGCAACGACAGAATCGCAATGCGAAATGAAAATCGCAACGACAGAATCGTAACGCGAAATGAAAATCGTAATGCGATTTTGGTTTCGCGTTGCGATTTTGTCGTTGAGATTTTGGTTTCGCGTTGCGATTCTTTTGTTGCGATTTTCATTTCGCGTTGCGATTCTCTCGTTGCGATTTTAAGTTTCGTGTTGCGAAAGTAAACTATTTCTTCTTCTGCAAATTGAAACTTGAATGGATTGCATTACTTCAACCAAAAGACAAAACAAAGACAAATACTATTTCACAGTGTTAAAGAATACACAGTTTAGCAGAATTGGCAGCAACCGAACAAATTTACTTTCAACCAAAAGACAAAACAAAGACAAATACTATTTCACAGTGTTAAAGAATACACAGTTTAGCAGAATTGGCAGCAACCGAACAAATTTACTTTCAACCAAAAGACAAAACAAAGACAAATACTATTTCACAGTGTTAAAGAATACACAGTTTAGCAGAATTGGCAGCAACCGAACAAATTTACTTTCAACCAAAAGACAAAACAAAGACAAATACTATTTCACAGTGTTAAAGAATACACAGTTTAGCAGAATTGGCAGCAACCGAACAAATTTACTTTCAACCAAAAGACAAAACAAAGACAAATACTATTTCACAGTGTTAAAGAATACACAGTTTAGCAGAATTGGTAGCTACCGAATAAATTTACTAAGCAATCTAAGTGAAATGGCTAATCTAAGTGAAATTACGAGTAAATTTATCATTAAGTTAAATATGGAAAATCTTAAACTTACCTCGTTGCGTAGAGTATGAACCTCATTCTGCAACGATACTATCATCTCACGTAGAGCGGCAACCTCACCACGTAAAGTTGACACCTCCACACGCCATGCACCATCGTTATCGCGTAGAGTACCGATCTCCTCACGCAAGGCATTGACCTCATCACGTAACTCATCCCGTGGAGGTGGAGAACAAGGAGATAAATGTCGTGGCCTCTTTACCGGTCGCCTATCATGAGGTGATGGTGGAGAAGAGGCTCGATGATGTGACGGGATAGGTGATGGCTCTCGTTCTAGAGGTGTATAGTCGGGTCGATCGGGTGATGGCTCTGGGTGAGGTGATGGCTCTCGAATTGGAGGAAGTGGATGCTGCTCATCATCCGTGCCATCAAAAAAACTCTGACTAGCTTGCCACCAATCAGTGGCAAGCTCTTCCTCCGTGGGTGTCAGTCTTTGTAATGGAATGTTGGCCTCCTAACAATATAAAAACTCAAACAAAGTTAAACGTCTACTATTAATAACTTGTTTATATATTATATGAAAGTATTTGTGTTAACTTACATTATTTATTGTCGCATATGGTATTAAGTCTTCCCAATCCAACAGAGTTTTCCTCTTCCAGGAAATAGCCCTGAGAATATCATTTGACGTTTTTATTGCATATGTACGCATGCTGGGGAAAGCCTCGAATATCCAAATCTACAAACAATATAATAACAAAATTAGTAATTGTTAAATAATTAATTATAATTTTAGAAACATTATATAGAAATTCTTACCTTAAAGGCCCAAACAAAGCCTGACAAAGTGTATTTCGACCCATCACCACGCAAACTTTTGCGGTCATCAAAGGCAGTAGACAACTTAGTCCAGGTAGCTTTCCATATATACGAACCCCACGGAAACAGATTCCATGCATTCAGGTCCTCTACCAATATTATTAGCTCCCAAGGAATAGGTTGTCTGGCCTCTCTGCCTAAAAAGCCGGCATACACAAGTAGTAGAAGGCATACTCGGACAACATCGACGTCATCCATCCGAGTGAAACCAGCTTTCTTATTAAACAATTTCTTCAGGTCGTCGACGTGTAGGTTCGGCTTCTCCATTGACTCATCCGGAAAAACCCGGGATAACCATGATGGGCGGGCGATATGACGAGTGTACCGGCCTACATCATCGTGTCCGAATCGTAGACCAGTGATTAAGCAGAACTCCTTCCGCCCAAAACAAGTATACGCTGGTGGAAAATGAAACCATATCTCTTCCTCACCACGTTGTATACTGTCGGGTAGATTTGATGTCATGGTCTGAAGCCACAAATGGGTCAAATTAGCATCTCCACCCGGATGCTGTACTCTCAGCCATGGCCCGAAGCAGGTTTCCTCAAACAATTGTCTTTGTGCAGGTGAAAGCTTCGAAGCAATTGTAGTGGCTAGGCTAACTTTATTCCTTAATGTCAATGAAGCCGAAAAAAATTTCTACAAAAACAATAAACATACCAAGTTAGATATACCAAAAACTACACTGTGAAGATATACCAAAAACAATAAACATAAAAAGTAGTAGTTTATTCTTGAAACTAAAATTTGCAACACTGTTTTGTCTTTTGGTTGAAATGAAAATCGCAACGAGAGAATGACTGTCGCAACGAGAGAAATGAAAATCGCAACGAGAGAATCGCAACGCGAAATGAAAATCGCAACGAGAGAATCGCAACGCGAAATGAAAATCGCAATGCGATTTTGGTTTCGCGTTGCGATTCTCTCGTTGCGATTTTCATTTCGCGTTGCGATTCTCTCGTTGCGATTTTCATTTTTCTCGTTGCAGATAGTCATTTTCACGTTGCGATTTTCATTTATCTCGTTGCGACTCTTCTGCAAATTGAAACTTGAATGGATTGCATTACTTCAACCAAAAGACAGAACAAAGACAAAGACAAATACTAACTTGAAAATCGCAACGAGAGAATAGCAACGCGAAATGAAAATCGCAACAAGAGAATCGTAACGCGAAATGAAATCTAAGTGAAATGGTTAATCTATTATTGAAATGACCAGTAAACTTATCATCAGTTTCAATATGAAAAACCTACAATAATGCAAAATTTTCAAAATAAAAATAATTAAAAAAACTAACCCTCGGAGGTTGATTTTCCATTTCTGAATATTGTGAGGGATTTCTGACCGTGAATGGTTGTGAGGGATTTCGCCGGAGATGGGGACGGAAATCTTCGGAGATGGGGACGGATTTCGCCGTAGAGAGTGAGAGATGGAGATGGGACTGAGTTGTGATTTTAGGTTTTAGGTTATGAGTTGCGATTACGGGATTTTGTCTTAATATTCGTTTTTGTAATTTGAAAATAAAATACGCGTAGCGATTATAATGGCGCTTTAAAAATCGCGTTGCGATTTACGGATACGCGTTGCGATTTTACGTATTGTCGTTGCGATTTACGGATACGCGTTGCGATATACGGATACGCATTGCGATTTACGGATACGCGTTGCGATTTATGTGTTCGCGTTGCGATTTTCATATTCGCGTTGCGATTCTGTAAAATCGCAATGCGAATTTGTACTATCGCATTGCGATTTTCAAGAATCGCGTTGCGATTTTGGAAACTGATTTGCGATTCTGGGGATCGCGTTGCGATTTTGTTGGTCATTTTGTCAAATCCAAAAAAAGTTGGTTAAAATCGTATATTATAAGGCATTTTTGGTCACTGAGGCGATTTTCTCATAAAAAAATAAAGTAATTTTCCGTTTGGATAATGCAATTTTGATCTCATTTTATGCTAGGGTGAAACTGGGAGCTTTTGCTTGGGTCTGATATAAACTAAAAAATTTGGAGAGACTAACACATCCCTTGTAGACTCAACTACTCGAACTCGAGTCTTCTAAGGAGAACAACATTCTCTTTTATCATTGAGATCACTCAATAAATTCTGATGAACGAACGAAATGAATCATGACGTGACATTACATGTCATTTAAAGGTCAGTTTTGAGTGTTTCATCAATGATGTTTTATATTTCGAATCATTTAGAAGTATGCATTGCGGTGCAATATATAGCTTATTGTTGTGTTACATAATAGTTACACGCAATAAAAATTATGGTGCGATTCATTTATCACGTTACGTTAATAATGTAGTTCAATGATCTTTCAAACTACTATGATCCTATTGCTAAGTTATAGTCATAATTTAGTTGATTAATTGAAACAATGGCTTCGCATTGCATCAGTCTTGAAATATGAATGTATTTCATGGCTCAAATATGTATTCCCCTCGGCACATTGTAGAGGAAGCAGGACAAAATACTACTGTTTACGTAGCAAGTGAAAATGGCAGTTGGATTTAGACTAATTGTCCCAGGGTCGTAGCTTGTAAGGTTGGAGAGTTTGTATAATCACAATTAGCCAGCCTTAGCACGCTAACTAGCGCCATCAGTTCTTCGGTTTAATATCTGAAAATAAATATTTCGGACCCTTATTTTGTCAGATGCATGTATTCTGATAATACATCCATCAAAATACGAATTATTGAATTTTGTAAATTAATTATGTTAAAACTCTGCTGAAAAAACAGGAATAAATTTCTGCACTTTAGAATCTATTATTGGACTTATTGCCACCACTTTTATAATCAAAGAATTTCACATTTATACGAAATAGAGTCTTATTCAGCAATCAAATTAAGATGGAGTCTCTGTCGGAACATTTTGCAGGGCACGTAGAACGAAGAGTTTTTTTGTCAGTTACAAATATGGGAGAAGCGTGGCTTTGGATACCCTCTCTATATAAACCACAAACCATCTTACGATTTAGCATCCCTTCATTGTAGCCTTTCCTGAAATTTTCTCGTCTCTAACAATGGCATCCACAACTCAATGTTTGTCACTACTCTTTGTTATGGGAATTTGGGCTTCTCAAGTTTCTTCTCGTTCTGTTCCTGAGCTATCCATGTCTGACAGGTTTGAACAATGGGCATCGAGCTATAGCCGAGTTTATCAGGATGCACCAGAGAAGGAGAAACGTTTCCAAATATTCAAGGAAAACGTGGAGTATATCGAATCCCACAATGCCGATACCAGTAAAAAGTACAAGCTAGGTGTTAATGAATTCACGGACACGACGAATGAAGAGTTTAAAACCATGCGAAATGGTTATAAAATGCGACCTTCCAACACTATTACAACTTCCAAAACATCTTTCATGTATGAAAATATTACTGCAGTTCCATCTAGCATGGATTGGAGAAAGAAAGGAGCTGTGACCGGCATCAAGGACCAAGGCCAATGTGGTAAGCAAAGGAATTTGTAAAGAAATTGAAATAATTATGATTCCACAATGCTAATTGTTTCTTACGGTTCGGATCATATAGGATGTTGCTGGGCGTTCTCGGCTGTGGCAGCCATGGAAGGGATTACCAAACTCAAAACCGGTACACTGACATCACTATCAGAGCAAGAGTTGGTTGATTGTGATGTCAATGGCGAAGACCAAGGTTGCAATGGTGGTCTCATGGACGATGCATTTGAATTTATCATTTCAAACAAAGGACTTACTACCGAAACCAATTACCCCTATGAAGGAGTTGATGGAAGCTGCAACAAGAAAGAATCTGCCAACCATGCAGCTAAGATCACTGGTTACGAAGATGTACCTTCAAACAGTGAGTCAGCACTACTAAAAGCTGTGGCCAATCAGCCAGTTTCAGTTGCCATTGATGCCGGTGGGGCCGACTTCCAACACTACAAAAGTGGTGTCTTCACCGGCGAATGCACTACCTACCTAGACCATGGGGTTACAGCAGTTGGCTATGGACAAGATGATAACGGGACCAAGTATTGGTTGGTGAAGAATTCATGGGGCACGAGCTGGGGTGAGAATGGATACATAAGAATGGAAAGAGATATTAGTGTCAAAGAAGGCCTTTGCGGTATTGCAATGGAAGCTTCTTATCCAACTGCTTGAAGATAGAATACGATACTGTGTATACAGTATATATAGTCCTCTTTCAGTATTTCAGAGGACTTAATAGCCACTCTCAGGGGGGGGGGGGAATGTTTATGTGCTTATCAGCTTATTTATACAAAATTATATCAAACAACGTTGCATATGTATAGTACAATACAATTGTTCTGTGCTTATCACAAATATATTGAAAGTTGAAAACAGAAAGAAAAACCTTTACTTTCCTTCAATTTCTACTCGTACATATATTACCAACATTCTGAATGAGAAACGGTCACAGTTGCTTTCCTAGTGGGGAAAGAGTTCCATAGTCATATAGATCAGGGGTGGATGCACTTGGCCTCCTAAGAGGTCAAGTGCATACTAATTTAGATAAGTTATTAAATATAATTTAATATATTAAAGGAATGAGAAAAAAAAAATTGCATATCCAATTTGTTGAAAAAAAAGAGTATTAAAATTTTTAGATTCTCATTTTCAATTTTTTGGATCTGTCACTGGTATAGATTCATTGATGGTATCAGCAAAGCAAGTCATTCTTGCTGACCATCTCATTTTTCATTCCCCCGTAATAAGTTTAACACTTCAACTACTAAAACAACTGCATGATCACTTCTTATTTGTTCTTTATGGTATATCTTGGAAGACACAAATTTCTTCAATAATGATCCTCCTATGTTCTTTAGCCTTTAGGGGATTTTTTTTGTTTAACAGGTCAAGAAATCCCTTAGCAGTCGGTAGTTTCTCAAACAGGGAATGTCTCTGTTTTGGTGCTATGCTATATGTTAGGTACTGAGATTGTATGTTATGAAGTTTTAATTCGGATAATTCTGTCTAGGGACTCTGTTAATACTTCCTATTCTTCCAAAAAGTCAATTCAAGGATTCGTAAGGCCAAAGCCGCTGGAAAATGGGCAAAATAAGTGATGTGAACTGATTCAGCATCATATTCATCCTTGTATCTCCAACCTTTCATAAAATTCAAAGGGAGATTCTCTCTAACTTATTCTTTTTCTACATTATGTTTATGATGATTATATTCATAATATATGATTTATATTTCATTTTTTATGACATGGATATATTTATTTATATATGTTATATCTATAGTTACGATAATAATAATTCATTCATTATCATATGATCCATGAGTTATTATTATAACCTATAGTCCACATCTTTATATTATATGCTTATTATTTTAATTACTTAACTTAAATTATGTTTCTTTGTTAAGGTATATGGGCGGCCACATATTGGGAGCTGACTTAAGCTAGTAAATGGAGTCCAAAGCTATGGGAACTTAACTAGAACAACTCCGGGAAAGCTAAGGATCAATTTGGAGAAAAGTTGTCAACTGCACTCCGAGCTCATAGCTGACTTGAGCTGGACTTTTGAACTAGCTAGGCTACTCAATTTAGTTGGGGAGCTACACCATCATCATCACCCATCAGAATACTTCAAATATGGGCCAAGTCAAATTTTCACAAATCGTACCTTTTCCTGAAGAGGTGCCATTCCAGGAGATGACTTTTCACAGGGAGCTGCCAAAAGACTCATCATGATACATCTCACCTATGGCCAGCTTACTTTCAGCTCAATCACTTTGGAACTAGCTCAATCATAAAAGGTTATCTTCCAAACATTGTGACCTTTCGTGAAAGTTGTTGTCCATGAAGATGCCATAACACTTGGGCGCACGTTGGTGAAGAGATCTCATCAAAAGGAGGCTTAATTCTCGAAGAGGTATGAGGCAAGCCTTATGACTATTCGGCCACACCATGAGAACACGCTATGCACATGCTTAATCCTTGGCGCCAAAATGAATCATCACAAGACCATTCGACCAAGGGAAATGTTCATCCATTCTAGCCGAAATATCATGCACATTCATGGAGTAGCCGAACCAACATGAAGGCTAAAGGACTTGTTCATTCACCTTAATCATTATGCATTTTCATTTAAAATATGTACCTAGCCTAAACATTAGGTGTCTATTCGGCCAAGCCTTTCATTTCCTATAAATCGGAAAGGCTTCATTATTTTTAAGATACATCATTGAATATATAAAACTTTCTTTGTGAGTTAAATCTCTCTTCAAAGTTCTTTGAGAACTATATCGATTAAGAAAGTATAATTTTTATACTTGTGGCGTCATTCACTTCACCTTGATACTTATAATTCCTAGATCATATATCCAGCGGGTTTAAATCCTTCTCATCACCCCTTTATTAAGTTTATAAAGGCTGGGGCTATACTCTTTAGTATAGTTTCTTAATTAAGATATTATTCCTTTATCATCTTCCATTATTATTCTTTCAACCATCTTTCATTGTCGTTCATACAACAACATCAAGTCGTCATCATCATCAACATCCATTGATGGCCACCATTACATCTATCAATTTCCGCAGCAACTCTATTTTTTTTATTTCATTTCCATTTACTTATCTTCATTATTTTTCTATTCTAATCTTATTTCTATCTTTTATTATTTGCAGCCATACTTATAAATTCAGGAGCAATATTTGTTATCATTTCTTAGATCGGGACAATATAATAAGACTATATATTATCTTCTCCATTGAAGGTTGTGGATAGGCTTACATCAATAAGGAAATAACTTAGTTTAGTCATAGTCCCCCAAAGTAAAGCACACCGAAAGAAACATACTCTGAAAGTGAAAGATTGATGCAGAAAACGAAAATCTGCACATAAACTGTTTCTTGATCGATACTACTCCCTGTCTAGTTCCCGGCCTTTTTAAGGGGCTCAAGGTTTCAAATAGCGGCCGAATAGAGGTGTCGCGGCCGTTATATCGCGGTCGCGGCGGTGTCCGAAACCGTTATCGTGGAAAATAACGGTGTGAAGCGGGATCACACCAATAGCGGCAGATCGCGGTCGTAATTTAACGGATCGCGGTCAATCACGGCAATAGCGGACCGATATTCCGCTATTATTCTGTTATTTTAATTTTTTTAAAAAAAGTTTTTTTATTAAAAAAAATCAGCTCCTTCGAAAAACAATTCACGATCGCGATATCCACAATGACCGGAATAGCATCCGTTATATCCGTAACCGTGATAAACACGTCGCGACCGAAAACGTGATTGTGAACGATATTTAAAACCCTGAGGGGGCTTTGATTAATCGTGGGACTATTTATGTTGTGATGCTAAATCAAGGATGTTAAAGGCAACAATATCGAAATCTTATACTCGTAGTGTTCATTATTTTGATATGGCATGGTTTTTAACAACTTAGAGATCTCATCAAATCTCTCATATATCTTACAGAAAATTCCTGGGTGCTGACAGGCAAACAGTTGTTTTATAACCAAAATAATCCAGTGGAGCTTTAATAGTAAACTTATCATAAAAGCAAATACTTTATTGCTGAATTTATTCCATGGTTGAGTCCACCCTTCACATCCTTCGTCTTCACCATTGATATCAGCTTCGTCTGTGTAGACACGGCCATTCAGACATCCATTCCTCACGCCTATTCGCCATGTGTTCCTCATTTAGAGGGCGACAGTAAGCATGGAAAATCCAGATGGACAAAACAAAAGAAAACTGAAATATCATGCTGCAGTTTCAATTTGAACCAAAATCACTGAGATTATCCATCAATCATTATAACGCGGTTGACGATTTCCACCAGAAATCAAAATCATGCAGATTCCATCACGGTAAGATTCCGTTCATTTTATTCGGCAGAAAACATAGCCCATGAAAAGATCTTTGAATACAAGCCGTGCACGTCAGATCCCTCATTTTTGTGAGTCTTATCCTTTCTCGTAATAGTATATACATGCATCACGATCAATCTGGCAAAGCAAACTTTATTACTTTAAGTATGCCGCAACCGAAAAGGCAGGGATGACTGCCAAATTCAATGCCCTTGTACTCTTATATCATCAAAATGTTAAGCTTGATCTAACAGCACTTCCATTCCCACCGCTTTTAGCTATTTGAGTAACAACAATATATAGAAAGCTTAACGAATATGAAGTGGACGTTGAGAAGTGAGCCTCACATGTATGTCTGGTATAACTTCAAGATGTGTACAATCAGGGATGGAGTCAAAAATCGAAGGGAGAGAGATAAAATATAACTTTTTTGAAAATGAGGAGGACGATTGAGGGCAACAGCTCTTCTGAGCATTAATTTAGTTCTGTTCTTGTACACAATATTTTCTTTAAGTTAAACATGGTGGCGGATCCATTATTTATTTAGAGTTTATTTTGAAATTCAAATTTACTTTGATTATTTATCTAATTATTGATTGTGCGATCTTAAAAACTTTATTTCTACTCACTTCGTGTAAAAATTTTGTATTATAAATATATACATGTCCACCTTTACAAATTTTATATATTCACTTTGTGATGAGTTTTAGGGGTTATGAAACTCGTCACGATTTGTCAGCAAACAACACCTAAAACTCATCACAAAATATACTTATCTAAATATGACTAAAGTTTAGATGCTATTTTTCGTGAATGATGACTTTTATTGATATCTTATTCGTCATAACCAATTTGTTTATTAGTATACGCAGCGGTATCTTTAGGCTCCAAATATCAGATTTATGGACATTGTAAATTCCGGGAAACAGGGCTACAATTTGATGGAAAATGTTCAATTTTTATAATTAGTAGTTGTATTGAAACTATATAAAACTTATGGATTTAGTCCGTATATTTTTAGATAATAACTGTGAAATTTAATATTTTATTATTAGACCATATGTTATACGTTAGTTGTAGTTTTTTTTTCATGTTTTTTTACATAATTAGTTCATGTTTTTTAATTTAATAATTTCAAGTCATATAATTTAATTATATTGTCTATGTATTATTTGAATTTAGATTGAAAATTTAAATTTAAAAAAGTACATGAATTAAAAATAATTAAACAAAAAATTAAAAAATCAAATCTACAAATTATGTATAATAAATACCAAACATAAAATGAAAAATTGTAGATATCCGTTGTTCTTATAAAAAAAGAAATTTCTAGTGATGTTTTACAGCATTGAAAGTGATTTTATTTTTCCCTTCACAGTGACTGCTAGTTAATTGGTCTAAAGCTCACATTCAGATCACGTAAGTTTCTCTTTGTTTAACGAACAACTGCACATTATTATTACTAAATGGATATGCAGTGTACAAAGAAGCAATTTTGTGGTGATGTTTTCAGTGATGAAACTTGAAAGTGGTTTTTTTGGCCGTAGCAATGGGTTATATAGTATAATTTAAACTAACCCTATATCCAACTTTCACTAACTGTACCAGAACTGCATTGCTTAAATTTTTATATATAATATATACCTATAAATTAACTGATTTTTTTTATAATGTGATAGAAATGATAAAATAAAAAATAAAAGGTCAGAGGTAAAAAAATTATAATAAAAGTACAAGAGTTAAATCAATAAAGATCTATTAGTTTTCAATGATCAATTTGTCCAACTTATACAAAGATCTATTAGTTTTTCATCTATCATCGTTCAGTGCAAACTTAATCATTATCTATAAATGTAATTTATACAACTCATGTATATACATATATTATTATAGTTAATATATTAAAAATAATAGAAAAAATTAGTAGACTCAATCTTAATCCAAAATAAATATATTGAGTCAAAGACATTTAAATATATTAATTTTGATCAAAACTTGGGTTCATTTGGAATATATTTAAAAGTGTTTAGAGTTAAATATCAATCATGATTAGTATCGGATCCTAAAACATCATATATTTGAATATCCAGATTCGAAAATAAAATTTAATTTGGTAAAAGAAATTAATTTTATATTTTGTGACTTAATGTAACTTATTCGATACTTCTATTATATCATATATTTATTTAATTATTCACATAAAATAAATAATTAAATATCCTAATTGTTATTAGGCTTGAGCTTTAATGGGTTAGTGTGTTACTCGTTTATTAGGATAAAAACTATCTAAAATCTTAAAGTTAATTTTTTTAGTTTTCGTATAATCTGAAATTGAAATTTATTCGATCTGATTATCTAAAAAAAATTTGGATAACCGATCTAAATTATCCGAAAATCAAAAAATAAATAGAATATCTAAATTTTCGAATTAAATCAATAAATTAATTGATCAAATTGATCAGATAGAATCTTTTTGCACTCCTCACTTGAACCAACCCCTCGGTACTTGTCACTTTTCTTTTAACAACACTTTGTCCCCAAAAGTTATCAGTTTCCTATTCTTTTCGCAGCTTGTCGACTACCTGGGGGCGATGACGTTGACCTTACCTACTCCAAATAAATAACAGGAACTTACCTGGAAATCGCTAGTACTAATCTAAGCGGGCGCTGACATTTTGGTGAATCACTGGCACTGTCGTTGTCTTGTAAATTACTCCACACTTTCAGCTAAATCCATTAACCCCTTCGGCGTATACCTGCGACAAAACTGATGTCGTCTCACCAATTAATTTGGACTCGTTTTTCCCACACGTATAACAATGGTTAATTTAACTAAATTTCCATGCAAATATTATTAACCAACAATTAGCGTAATTCAGGAAAGGATTACAGTTTGAATTATTGTATTTGCCAACAAAATCAATCATTTCTCAACTGGGTATAATGTTTACTTGTGAGGTCTAAAATCACAAGGCAACAACGGAGAATTTTCCAGATACTCCAGATACTGTGTTTGACTAATGTTTATGAAGCAGGTTGGCTATATAACTATTATTAAATATAACAATTAAATACTCTTAGGTTTGGAAAATGATTAGCTCCTTAATTTTCGAAGCAGCTGCCAAGCTTTTTCCCTAGAATCTTTATGTACAAAGCTTGGTCCCCAAGAAGCAACTTGAATTAAAAGAGAATGAAAATGCACCTAGTGGGGACAATATATTCATTTAATCCATCTTGAGTATTGACCTTCCCTATATATAAGTACGTCCTCATGGCTCTCATGTCTAATCCTTCGAAGCTTATAGATACTCAACATGACGGTTAGTTCAGTTTCTTTCGTTTTCATATATAACATATTACCTATGAAAAATCATCTTAGCACCAAACTATTGCCCACGACTGTATTTTTTGCTCTTTTTGGTCTGCAGATTACAGAGATGAGAGTACATATGGATTGCGAGGGCTGCGCCACCAAGATAAAGAAGGAGCTTGGAAAACTCAAGGGTATATCGATGTTTCTTTATCGATCATCGTCATGCATAATATTAAAACACACTCAATGATTATAGTTTGGTAGATATTAATGACTTAATTTGGGTGTTTTAATTTGTTTCAGGAGTGGACAGTGTAGACGTAGATATGGGCATGCAAAAGGTAACGGTCATGGGTTGGGCTGCGGCAGACCAGAAGAAGATGTTGAAAAAAGTGAGAAAAACTGGAAGGAGAGCTGAGCTGTGGCCGTATCCGTACAAACCTGAGAACCAATTTTACTACGAATATTATCAAACACCCGTGATTACTTACCATGCAACCGGACGTTCCTCATCCTACAACTACTACAAGCATGGGTATGATGGACATGATCATGGTTACTATCAGCCACCGCCTTATTCGACTCTTGTTGATGAACAAGCCAGCTCTATATTCAGTGATGAAAATCCCCATGCTTGCTCTATTATGTGATATACGTGTATAAATATACATACATGTCTGTCCAAGTAAGTTTATATTTGACGTGTGTATAAATGTCTATGTCCAAGTAAATTTATATTTGACGTGTATAAATATCTATATCCAAGTAAATTTAGATTTTACGTGTATAAATGTCTGTCCAAGTAAGTTTATATTTGACGTATTAAAAATATCTATGTCCAAGTAAGTTTATATTTGACGTGTATAAATATCTATATCCAAGTAAATTTAGATTTTACGTGTATAAATGTATGTCCAAGTAAGTTTATATTTGAGGTATTAAAAATATCTATGTCCAAGTAAGTTTATATTTGACGTGTATAAATATCTATGTCCAAGTAAATTTATATTTGACATGTATAAATATGTTTGTCCAAGTAAGTTTATATTTGACGTATTAAAAATATATATGTCCAAGTAAGTTTATATTTGAAGTATTAAAAATATCTTTGTCCAAGTAAGTTTATATTTGACGTGTATAAATATCTATCCAAGTAAGTTTATATTTGACATATTAAAAATATATATGTCCAAGTAAGTTTATATTTGACGTGTATAAATATCTATGTCCAAGTCAGCTTATATTTGACATATTAAAAATATCTATGTCCGAGTAACTTTATATTTGACGTGTATAAATATCTATGTCCGAGTAAGTTTATATTTGAAGTATTAATCATCTAATTTATACATTATGAATAATTATATAATTAATAAAAAATAAATTTACATTAAAATTTATTAAATAATTTCAGTGATTAAAAAGGACTTTGTTCTTATTTAAAGTATTGAATTTAAATAATTAAGTTTACAGAATATATGCACTATCGATGACTAAAATATATATAAATATATTCTATTTTATAATCTCACAAGACTATTAAAAAGATCGTTTATAATAGAGGCATTATGAAATTAAGTTAAAAGATCTACTACTAATAACAAGCCCATTTCTTTAATTGGGTTTAGTGAAGCCCAAATTGTTCACCAAGCAGAGTTTGAGTTGTAACAAAAAGTTTAAGTTTCGAGTAGCAACACTCTCAAAACAAAACTATTACGACCCAAACTCCATAGAACGACATCGTAACAATGCCTAATTCAGTAAGGAGCTGTACGTGAACGCCACAGCACCAGTATCGCGTGGGTCATTGACATCCCAAATTGAGGCCGGCCAGTCATGTCTCGTCCCCGCTTCCTCCACTATTTCTCATCTAAGTTGTCCCTGATTGGTCCTCCCCAACCAATAACCAGAAAACAAAAGAATGCGAAAAAGAGAGACTACCTTCTTCGTCGCCGAGTCTCTTCGCCATGGATTTCTCCAAAGAACGTGAAAACCTCGTTTACGTCTCCAAGCTCGCTGAACAAGCCGAACGATTTGATGGTACGATCTAACCAACACGGTCATAGACTTTGGTTCTTTTCTTCTTTCAACATTTTAAAATCGTGGATTTTTTGTGTGTTCCAGATATGGTGACTGCTATGAAAAAACTAGCGGAGCTTGATGTGGAACTGACGGTAGAAGAACGGAACCTGCTCTCTATCGGGTACAAAAACGTGATCGGTGCTCGAAGGGCGTCGTGGAGGATCTTGTCTTCGATAGAACAAAAAGAAGAAGGCAAAGGGAATGAGCAAAATGTTAAGAAAATCAAAGGGTACATGCAGATAGTGGAATTGGAGTTGTCCGATATCTGTAAAGATATTATGGGTGTGATTAATGAGCATCTGATTCCTTCTTGCTTCGGTGGAGAGTCTACTGTGTTTTACTATAAAATGTGAGTACTCTTTGGGGTTTTCTCTGTTGATTTATTGTATTGGGGTTTTTTTCTGAAGATTTTTTTGGGGTTTATTTGGTTTCAGGAAAGGGGATTATTACAGGTACATGGCGGAATTCAAGACGAGTGATGAGAGGAAAGAGGCCGCTGATCAGTCCCTGAAAGCATATCAGGCAAGTTCGACTATATTCAAATTGGTTCAAATTTGATCTATGAAATGTTGAACATTCACATCATCTGCTATGATTTAATTATGACTATTGCGATGATATTTGCTTGTTCCCTAATGCTGAGCTTGTGGATTTAAGGACTTTTCGAATGTCCGTTTGTTCATCATGCCAAACAAAATTTTTTTCCTTTTGGAGCTTATGGGTATTATTTGCTTGCAGTCTGCAACAACTACAGCAGAAGCTGAGTTGCCTCCTACACATCCAATCCGGTTGGGATTGGCCTTGAACTTCTCTGTGTTTTATTATGAAATTATGAACTCTCCTGAAAGGTAGGCATGAGTGTCGTTTCCTATGTCTCAACGTTCTCGTTGAGCTACTACTGGATACTATTGGAAAGCCATGTTTCATGTGAAACTTGTAAACCAGGGCCTGTCATCTTGCTAAGCAAGCTTTTGATGAAGCTATATCGGAGTTGGATACTTTAAGCGAGGAGTCATACAAAGATAGCACATTGATTATGCAGCTTTTAAGGGACAACCTGACTTTATGGACTTCTGACATCCCAGAGGATGGAGGTAACTTCGTTGATTTTGCACCAGTGAATATAAGTTAACTAGGATTCACCGACCGCCTTATGATTACATGTATCATAGTTCTTTCCTACTTCTGCCTTTTGAAAAAATTCATTAACAGTGTCATGTATTTGTTTCACCCTGCGGAATGCGTCTCTGGTATGGTCTTCATTAACAGTGTCGCCTATTTGTTTCATTACAGAAGAGGTCGCAAAGCTTGGTGCAGGAGATGAATGAAGCTGTCTGTTAATGTATTTTAATTATTATGTTACAGTGGCATGGGATCTGTATCATGAAAGGTAAGTAGTAGGTCTGAAACTGTTGGAGCTAACCAGTTTGGGAAGAGATTCAGCTGCTTTCACCTTTTTCTAGTAGCTATTGTTTGATGTTTGGATTGTGCAGTGTCAATGGCCTTTTTCCCCCTTTTTACCGTCTCTCTGTTACATCCTTCCCTCTTTGATCAACTAAGAATTATTTTCAGAATGTCTACTCTTGGTTTGCAGCTTTGTTCATTGAAATTCCGAACCCATTCACATAACTATATTTCAATAATCTGTGAAAAAGAGATTTCCCAAATCGAAAGAGTAAATAGTAAACCTATAGAGAAAAGAGGTACAATGGAAACAACCCACAAAGCCATCATCTTCCTTCCCTCAGCCCTCTGCATCTTATCCTCGTGTTGCTTGAGCCGATGAACCTTCCCCAAATCCGCGGAGGAGGGAAAGTTTTATGGTGACAACTGCCATTTGCAAACTGAATCAGACATGGCAGTGTACAAATACATGCTCATTTAATTTGAAAGATCGTAGTACTGGATCAGTGTAACCTTTTGACATGTTCAAACAATACGATTTTTATGCATGATCGGCAAGTGCATCGGTTTCTAAGGTAATGTTTTCTTGAAGCATTTTAACTGCAAATTCTTCAATAGTTACCATAAAACAAATGGAAAATAGATGCCAGATTCCCAAATAAGAAATTCAGAAACCACTTATTTTCTAAATCTTAGAAATATTTTGAATTTCATTTTTTTCTAAATTGAAACTTTTGATATGAAATTTATAAAATACTTTGAAAAAATAATTATCAAATAATTTGAAAAATTATATAAAACAAAATTAATGGGGTTAGTTCAAGCGATCAGCATTTTGATATTGTTTAAATAAATTTTGAGTTTCAGTCTTTTTGTACGAAGAAAATTTCTGTTGGGAGATTTATACATCAAAACTAGTCGTACGACGCGGGTTGATATGTATTAACGAGGACGAAGTCTTTGGAATCGGGATGACAAAATATATATATATATAACAAATATAACTATTATAATTTTTAACAAGTAATTACTTTAAATTCAAAGGCGATGGATGAAAGCAGTGCATTAAATATTTTTTTGAATAAATATATATTTTGATATTTGAATCTAGTTTTAAAGTTCAATTTGAAACTTAAATTTAGCTCCTTAGTTTAATTGACACTTGAACTTAACCTCTTAGTTCAATTTAATATTTCTATTTTTCATTCAATTAGGTGATTAAATTTGATTTCATGATTTAATTTAAATTATATCATATTTAGATTCATTCATATTTATATTTGTATCATATTTTACATTAAATGCTCACACATTTGACATTCATGGTGTTGAACTCAAGATCTTAAGTAATAAAAACAATTTCTACACTACCAGGTTGCTTGGTTCGTGCTAAGATATAAATATTTTATTTTAAATATAATAATTAATTGGACTAAGAAGTCATAAATAATGAATTGAACCAATTTTAACATTGTTTCTAATCTCAAAATCAATTTTGACCTCGAAAGCATTTTTGAAAAGCATCCCAAAACACTTTAAATATCAAGTAGCATTGAAATATATATATAAAGTCTAGGCACCAATTTAAATCAAGAAAGAAGTCACATTTAACTATCTAATTAGTCGAAATAAAGTTTAGATATCAAAATTTACCGAAATTCTTTTAATATTATCGTTTCCTGAAATCTGTTGGATATGGTACTGGACGAGAAGTTAAATCCAACGGCTGATACAAGTCCTCAAGAAGTGTTAAATGCCTAAGACCGTTAATTTTTCATATAAAATGAAGTTGGCCATACAAAGGTTTCTGTTTCAGAATCCTCTCAAACGCACTTCTTATCTATTTCTTCAATGCTGCGTAATAAAGGCTATCAAATTCAAGACCGAAGACCCGGTGGAGATATGCAAGAATGAATTAAAGTGGAGCCTTCTACATCTATCACGCAGCAACTCTTCTAGCTGCGACAGTAAGAGGAAGAAAACGGCTAATGGTACATTACGAGAGTCGCTTAAACCCCGAAGGACTAGGTTACTCGTCGAACCAGTTGACTCCATAGAAATCAGGCCTACGCACCCTATAAAACATTGCTACGATTTCGAGGTGTCTGACAGGGTTGACATCTTGGTCGACGATGAGTGTTGGAAGGTTGGAATTGTCATGAGAAAAGTTGATAGCGACGACTACAATGTGAGGTGGGATTGTGATGAGAATGAAGTGCAATGTCCTTTCAATATTCTTAGGCAATATCATCTTGAATGGAAAAATGGGAATCGGCCATTTACTTCAACTGGGTAATTTTTGCAGCATTGTGGATTTAGATCAGCAGCTCAAGGGGGGTCAGACTGCAAACCATGGCAACGAATCAAAATGAGGGAAGAAGTTGGCTCCAACTTTGATTGGTTTAGATGTTAGTCTACAGCAGCATTATGGTCTTCCTCTGCCTTGTCAAACACGTGACAACCTTGGCAGTTCATTGGTCACTTGAATCTAAAATTCTCAACACTTTTTAGAGTGATTTCAGCCATTTACTTGGCAGGAATCTTCTCGCGATGGAACTTTATTTGACAAAATAAATTTAACTGAAAACTAGTTTGTAGAAAGCCTTACTATTATGGACAATTATTCTTGTTCTTAGTCCTCATGTTACATGCTCAGTCAAAGCACTTGTTTAAGTTTAAAGACAGAAGAACAATTTTGCACTAATCTGGGTGATAAGATGCCCTAATCCAATAACCTCGAGGCATCTATTTTTCCTACCCAACATCTGTACATAGGAATATATATTATTGATTTTAGTTTTTTTATATATATCAAAATCTCTTATGATCAATATGATTTGATAAAATTAAATGTTATCCATCTGCATTAGCTCAAGTGTTTGAAGCAATCAGCCCTTTGTCAGAAGAATCTACCTGCCCCGTCTTATCCTTCAAAATTTAGCATGTACTTAATCAAATATGATTTGTTGATGGTTTCGATTTCGCATCCATATGGGTTGATAGTTGATTTGGATTAATGGAATTGGATGATGGACTCCTCTTTGGTGGGTTGATTGTATCCTACTGGCATCCCATCATCATCTGCCAATACCACATTTCTTCTAATTATATTTCAATCCAATATTTTATATATCGTCGATTCTTCCTATGCTACCATCCATCTAATTTAATCTTCTTATTGATTCTTTTGTTAACAGGTTTTTTTAAATAATCATTAGTAACAGTAGGAGACTTGAAAATTCTTTAAAGTCCAGCCTGTATCTACATTTGTCTATAAGCATAATATAACAATTTTCTAATATTTTGTTGAAACTTCTGCACGCAAAAAATAAAAAATAAAAGAGATAATAGATCAATAAGGTTGGACACCTGAGCAACTTATTCGCCTCCGCTTCATCGGGAAAACTTGCCGGAAACCACCATTTGCCGCCTCCATGTGCCACTCCTCCAACACCATCCCCTCCAACTCAAACTGTTGCACCCCACTAGACCCGTCATACAAGCACCCCTCCGGAAACCCATTAAGACCACGACCGGGTATCGGCTTGGCTTTACGGCGACCAGCCCCAACGGGAACGTTCCGAAGAGCACCACCTGCGGTCCAGTACCTCTGGCAACCTTTACAGAAATGTCTAGGCTGATTCACGTTGTAGTTATTGAAGTAACAAAATTTGGTGTCCATGCTCTTGCATCTAGGGCAAGGTATGACCTTGTCAGGCCTCTTGTCGACAGTTGGATTGTCAGCTTGGTTGCGTTCTTTTACTTGTCTGCCATGCAGCGTAATCGTTGCCCCAAATAGCTTGATCCCTTGCCCTTGTTGGTTAGCCATCACCATTTACAGACAGAGACAGAAATAGGAGACGACAGAAGATTGTTTGGTTTGGGGCTAAAGGGTGTTTGAGAAATATGATTATATTTATGGCGGAGGACTATGTATGACTAGGAGCGAGAGAGGAATGAACAGAAACGCATGTGATGGAAGTAGCCGCCAACGCCACAGAATTACCAAGTGGCGTGGAAATGATGAATTGATGATGATGATGAGCTTTTTGTCCAAATCATTACTCCAACTCATCAATATTTAATTGTCACAAATTACTTAAATTTGATTTTTACGTTTTATTTTTAACGATTCATACTCGAAGAGAGAGGAATAGAAATTTTACTCCTTATTAATATTGAACCCACAATTTAAAATAAATGGAGATATCTAAGAGATTTCAACAACATGCATTACCTCTTGGTTCTTAATTCTTATAGAAAATACCCATAAAGTGGGTCCAACCGAAGTGATGGAGAATTGGAGCATAAATAAAGGAGATAAAGTTTTGGTTCTGATGGCAATGGCCAATGTGGGTGTTTATTTTCCATTTTTACAATATTTTGGATAATTATTTTTTACAATTATAATATATTTTTTATTTAAAAAAATATTGTATACCTTTAGTTACGTTTAATAATAACAACAAACAAAACACATAAATTTTTTTAACCCTATTTATAAAATTTAAAACTCATGTCAGATAATAAAATTAATTTTTTTGTTTTAAAGAAAAAAAAGGAGAGATTTTTATATATCCTTCAAAATGGGGTTTGAATACAATTTATTTTGATGAATAATTGGTTTTTATAGATATATAATCCTAGAAAAATAGAGTATATATGTACTGCATGCTAAAGAGAAAGAGAGTACAAGTTGCATGAAATGATGGATGCGTTGCTCATCAAGGATATAAGAAGATACACAGTGTGCTTTTTAATACAGCATAAGTTCTCTTTGGATAATTTTCTTTTTCTTTCTTGTGACAAGCTGAAATTCGAATGCCAAATTAAAAGAAATCCGACGCTTCCAAAAGCCTTAAATTAAAATTAGTTGACCCTATTCCCATCTGTAATTAGATAAGGGGAGGTATGGTAGTAGGATGCCCCCAACATCAGGTTGAGAACAGCTTCCGTGAAAGATCTCCGTTATGAATTGCCCTCAGTAGAACTCGATCCTACTACCACAAGTTAAAAACCCTAAATTGTGATTGCTAATAAATGGAAGATACTTTTAGGTGCTTTAAATTAAGCAGTCCAATCAGATTCCACCAATAACCTAACTTTCCTTGACTTTATAAAAAGATCAAAGGAACGGGTCAGGTTTATATTAAGTTAGACATTTTTGCTAATGCATTGTGTTAATCATGTTTAGATATATATCATTTGTGATGATTTTGTATTGAAAATTAGGTGTCTGGTATCTAAACTATTACTTTTGTTACCTTTTAGTACTCAAACTTTATTTTATTTCAAAATCATATCTAACGTTTAGTCCAGGTTTTGTTTTTGTACCCTTCCGTTTAAAACATAACAGTGATATTGATGTGTCAACAAAAAGTAGTGGTGATCCAAAAATATTTTTGTGGGTGGACACATGCATATGAATAACATAAATTTTTTGTATGGACACAAATAAAATTTCAAGGTGAGTACCCTTAATAAAATGAACTATTAACATAAAGAAATTCATATTTCAGGGTGAGTACGTGTCCACCCTGGACAAAGACTACATCCGCCACTGTCATAAGGTAATATCACGTTATCATTGAAAAAAAATTAAAAATACCACATATGCAATTATGTTAATTTTTGATGATGGGTGCCAAATTAAAACATAAATTAAACGTCAATTGTGATTTTTAAAAAAAATAAAGTTTAAATATCAAAATAGAATAAAAATTATAATTTAGATATTAAACGTGTAATTCACTCTAAAAAATTATACATATAGAGATGGAGTTGCATCCTATCTTTTTGGATTGGATGGATTTTGAATTTTTAGGATATTTAATTACTTTGATTAATCCTTTTCTTTAATAAAGGGATCATTAATGCAAAGCTGCCTCATTACCGTCAACTTTTCCAATTCTATAATGTAGGCAAATAAACATTCTGTTTCTTTTAGTTGGAAATAAGAATAAGTTATTTAATTAATAAACCCCTCAAATTAATGTGAGCTAATACAAATAAGCCTTATGGGCCAGCCCATATCCCTACTTTATACCTCCTATCTTTTATTATTTAAATTTCTTGATTAAATTAGTGTACATAGACATTCGATTCATTAGTTGACAAATTTAAATTTAAATACTCTATAAGTTTATTATGATAATAATTACCTTTTAACTTAATTTATAATACTCCTACCATTAAATTTAAAATTTAAATATTTTTCAAAGGGTCCACTAATTGATAAAGGTGAATCTAAAGGGGGCAGATAGGGCGTAACACTAACACCTTCATTTAAATATGTAAATTGTCTTTTTGATCCCTCAAATTATTTTAGATTTTAATTTTAGTGTTTTAATAATAAAAAAATTGTCCCTAAAAGAATTTTGATTTTAATTTAGAGCCTCAAAACAAAATTTTGAGTTCGCCCTCGTAAAACCTAATATATATTGCCAAGTTAAATTATTTTGTGTGTCGTGAACTCTTTATTTAATCACATTTAGTCCCTTTGAGTGGCCTAATAAAGTAGTGTAAGATATTTTTGGGTTGGGATGGGGTCATGAGAAATTAAAGATTGAGTAAAGTATTGCCTTTTCTTATTGATGATGAACGTCAAGTTTCTTCAGTAAAATTAATTAATTAAGAAAGTTTCTCCCTGATACTTTAATGCTTTGTTTAATCACGTTAAAGCTTCAGTTTTGCATTTACCAAATCAGCTGGGCAAACTTAAATTAATTCCTGTATAAAACAGGAGAAATCAGTAGGAGAGGGGCAAGTGGCAAAAGCTTCCTGCATGTACTTGTGTGTTTGCAAAGTTATTTGTCATAAATCCTTTTGCTTTTGCTTTGACCCTCACTAACATTTAAAAGCTAAAAGCTTTTACAAGAAAGTATTCTCTGTCTCTCATCTTTCTTCGAAAGCTCCTGTTAATTTCTTTAAGTTGCCCTGCAATGGCGCTTGTAATAAAGTTAATTTTCTTTTTTCGAGGGAAAGATCCTTTTCATAGTGGGGAAATTATTAAACTACTCTTTTATTATATTGTATCTGAAGATACTAATTTTTTTACCCATATCATTATTATTATTATTATCATTATTATTATTATTATTAAATATATTAAATACATATATAAATAATAATTACAGACCAATTACAACTGGACCGATCCAGTTACAAACAAACCAGAACCGGTCCAGATCAAACCAGAAATCCTAAACATTTGGGGGTTTTAGTTAGGGTTTCCTAACCCTAATCTAACCAGCCGCCTCAGCTTGCTGCCGTTGGATCTGGCAAGATCCAACGGTCCATATGGCTCCAGATGGAAACCCTAGGGTCTGATACCCTAGGGACACGCGGCCGCCGCTGCTATCTCGCCGCCTCTGCCGCTGCCACGTCCCAACCGAAGACTCCAGAAGCTAGAACACCAGCCGTCCACGCCATAGCTACGGGGTGAGTCACCACTGGCAGTCCGGTGAGTCACCACTGGCAGTCCGTGACTCACCGAGACCCCCTCTTCGGACCGGTCCGATGGCCACACCGGTGGGGGCTATAAAAGCCACCACCGAACCTGAAAAAAAAAGAGAGACAGAGACTACACAGGAAACCGAGAGAGATAAAGAAACTAGATACTAAAAACTACCAACGATCAACAATCAGTAGCAAAGAAACAGAAAAAGAAAGAAAAAGGAAGAGAAAGACTTACCAAGGAAGCCAAACGCCGGATCTCATCAAAACCTTCGAAAAACCGAAGGTATTCTTTTTAGATTTGCTCCGATTGGGAGCCGTTTAACGGAAAAGAGCATCGGAACCGTCATTAGGACGGTCCGATCTATTTAGATGTAAAAAAAAATTTTCCGGCCACCGAAGACGGGGCCGGCGGCGGACGAACGCCGACTGACGGCTGCCGGCCGACTGGCTTCTCTGTTCTAGAGAGAAGCGAGAGAAATTTTTTTCTCTCAAGAAGAGAGAGAGAGAGGAGAAGTAGAATGAAGACTGGCCCTTCGGGCCAGCCGGTTGGACCTTTTATAGTCCTTCCCGACGACGTCGTTTCGGGAAGGACTGCGCGTAATTAGACAATAGTTAAATCCCGTCCGCCGTCTCCTAATTTGTAAACATTACATTTTAGTCACTAAATCGATTTTATAATATTTTTAATTCAGTCTTCGAATTTCAATTTTATTCATTTTAGTCCTTTTATTAAAATAATATATTTAGGTTAAATAACAGATTTAATCCCTTAATTTTAATAAATAATTTTTTAATCACTAGTTTATATTTTTAATTATTTATTTTAATATCCGAATTTTAAATAATTTATTGTAGTCACTAAATTATTAAATAAAAATAAATATTCAATCCTTATAATTTTGATTAATTATGAATTAGATTTTGATTTTATTTTTACTGTAATTTAGTCAGTTATTTTATGTTTTCATTTATTTTATTGTTTTTAATATATTGTTTTAGTAGTATTTTATTTTTATTTATTATATTGTTAAATATTTTATATATTCATAAATATATATATAATAAATAGTAATTTTTAAATATTTATTTTTAATATCGAAGAAAAGGACAGTCTTAATACAACTGGATGTCCCATTCTGATATTTAAAATTAAAAAGTAAACAATATTATTTAAATTAATATTTATCAATATCAAAGAAAAGAGCTGTCTTAAGGCACCTAGAAGTTCTTTTCTGATATTTTTAAATAAATAAATATTTTTATATAATTTGAAATAATAGAATTATAAATTAAATATATTTTGAATTTTTAAAATTTTAATAATAGAGACAATTTATAATTAAAAAGTACCAATTTTGGGCGTTGTAGGGGTGCTAATCCTTCCCTAAACGTAACCGACCACGAATCCCT